GTGCTTTGATTTAAACAATATGTTTAATATACAAAGACTTAACAACAGTCTAAAGTAATAAGGAGCCAGGCACCAGCAGCGCATGCCTATAATCACAGCTGAAGTAGGGAGGCTAGCAGTTCAAGATCAGCTCAGAACAATGTTTATGTGACCTCTTCAATCGCGAGTTGGTAACAGATGCCTCTCACCCTTGCTTAGAAAAAGGCAAATGATCGTGGTCCAGGTACACCTCCAGGAAGGAAGCACAAGGCCCTGAGTTCAAACCTCCAGCCCTCTGTTTCAGAGCATGCCTGAGGTATCACGGTACTTCTCCCCGAGAAGAGGTGCAAGGGTTCTTTCTCAGTTTAGTCTGAAGACCCCTCAGGGGCCAGAGACTGCGATGCATCTCTAGGAAGGCAGATTTTCTTTCAAGTATCAAACAAAGCACATGCAGCACAACAGAGTGCGTAAAGAAGCTGGTCAGAAATCATCGATCCCCTTCTAAGCAGCATGAAAGACATCTGCAGATACAGAAAAGGCTGCCAATTCATCCCATTAAAAGTTTCAGAAAACACTGTTGTTTTTTAAGTAACAATGTTAACACAATAAAGAGATCTCTAAATGACTTAAAATATTTTATTTATGTCAATAAATATCCAAATAAATAACCAAGAAAGATATACTGGTTCTTAGGAATCCTCAGTACTTTTTTTTTTTTTTTTTTGGGGGGGGGTTGTTGGTTGTGGGGCTTAAACTCTGGGCCTGGGCACTATCCCTCAGCTCTTCAGCTCAAGGCACTTAACCACAGCACCACTCGAGTTTTCTGAGTGGATTATTAGAAATGAGAATCTCACAGAGTTTCCTGCCCAGGCTGGCTTTGAAGTGCAATCCTCAGATCTCAGCCTCCTGAGTGGCAGTGATTACAGGCGTGAGCCACCAAAGCCAGGCAATGTGCCTGCCTAGCCCTGGGGCGGTCCTGAAAATCCATGCCTGCCTTCCAAAAGGAAAAGACCCCATGGTCCAACATCCAAAGGCATGAGGACCATCTACACCCACCACACATAACCCTCCCCGGGCAGAAAAGAAGGAAACGGATTAATCTCCCAAGTTAAATGAATATTCGCAATTCAAGCCACTTGGCAACCAGGAGGCCTACAGTATTTTAGATGCTGGAAGTAGAGGTCACACGAACGCCCATCGCGTCTCCTACTCAATGTCACATCAAGTCTGAAGAGGGGCTTAATTCGACGTCACTGTTGCAGTATCCTATTTACATGAAGTCAACGATTTAACTCCTCATTACAGACCAAATTAATGTTTAGGTTATAATTATGGCTTTCCCAATTTGTATCATCACCACCCAAGAGTTTTCTGCAGTAATTAGACAGGAAATATAATATGCATACTTAACTTCTGCAAATATGAACTGATCACTAAAGCTTGACAACTCTGACACGGAGAGGAATACAAGCCAGTCACACACACACCACGGTTTTGTTTCCTGAACTGAGTTACAGTGTATCCAACCCTATCTTATTGTCAACTTCACTAGCTGCTAATTCTAATGGACTAAGAAGCAATCCCAAAATGCCTGAAATGCAAGAACTGGTGTTTATTTTCTTCAAGGTGACAACTACTCACCTTCCCTCCATCCTCTTACTTTCCCAATGAATTCAGTGCCTGCACAGTCTCCAGCCACCAATACAAATCAGGTCACTGGAAACCTTCAGGAAGACGACGCACACCGCGTTATGGATGACTCCTGTGACGGTGTGGACACACACACACACCTACCTCTGTCTCCCCCCCCCCCCCCACCGCCCCACGGTGACCACCGCCACACCTGGACGAGAATGCCTCACACATACATCTGAGCTGAAACTCTCAAGTCACACCTTCCATTTGTGTCTTCAACCATCTTCATTGGTTCTGAGAGTAAGGTTTTACCTGCATGTCCTCAAACGTCTAATTGTAGAGCTGTCCAGTATTGCTTTACATACAGAGACCAGACGTAATCACTTATAGTGAAAACAAACAAACAAAAAAGAAAAACAAGTGCATGGGAAGAGATAGAAATTAAGTTCCACCCGGTGCAGTCTCAGCACTTGGGAGGCTAAGAAAGGAAGATCAAAGCCAACCTAGGCCACAACGTGAGACACCGTCTCACCCCCTCATCTCACAAACAAGCAAGGAGATAGAATTCAGGGGAAGAGCTTACCCCCGCACGCATGAGACTGTGATTCAAACCTCTGCATTCCTACACACACACTTACACACACCCATACGCTGAGGAGAAAAGGAAGAGGGAGGAAGGAAGGGAGGAGGGAGGGAAGGAGGGATGGAGGGAGGGAGGGAGGGAGGGAGGGAGGAAGGGAGGGGAGAGAGGAGGAGGGAAGCAACAGTAGCAAAATAAAAATAAATCTGACACCAATGGCTCACTCCTGAAATTCTAGCTACTCAGGAGGCTGAGATCTGAGGATCACGATTCAAAGCCAGCCTGGACAGCAAAGTCTGTGAGAGTCATCTGGAATTAACCAAAGTGGTAGAGCATTAGCCTTGATCCTAAGATCTCAAGGACAGCACTTAGACCTGGAGTTCTGGCCTGGGCAATCAAGCTGAATGAACAGTAGGACTTGGCCTTCAGCCCTGGAACAAGTAAAAACTAAACTAATAATCCATGTAAAAGATGGACATGCAGCGCAGGCTTTGCGCACCTTGTCCCCTGCAGTGCTCTGTGTGCGGGGTTAGATTTTAGCTCTACTGAATGAACAGGGCAGAACACATGGTAATCCAACAGGACCTTGAAAGAGCAGAACAGAAAAGGTCAGACCTATCAATCAAAGCCAGTTTACTTATATTCTTCTAGCAGGGAAGGGTTAACTGTAACTTACTTCTCCTTCTCCCGCACAACCCGCTTCAGAGAAAACTCAGGTGAGCTTAAAAATGAGCTACTCCCTCCTTTCACATCCACTTCTAGCATGACCACACTCCATACACTCCATATACACCGGCATCTGTTGCAAAGACCATTTAAAAACAAAATCTAGCTGCTAGTTTACACAGAAGGCAGAGTAGAAGCACCCCCAAAATGTTCCCAACTGCTAAGATGTGTCGGTCCCTCAAACTCCTTACACACAAGTATGAGGGCTGAAGCAGTAGTTCCATGCTAGGGTGCTATCTAGCCTGCACAGGTCCCAAAGTTCAATCCCCACCACTACCAAAAACAAGACATCACTGTAATGATTTTAAAAGTTCAGTGTCTCAGGCTGGGAGGTGGCTCAGTGGTAGAGTGCCTAGCGTGCATGAAGCCCTGGGTTCCATTCCTCAGTACCACATACACAGAAAAGGCCAGAAGTGGTGCTGTGGCTCAAGTGGTACAGTACTAGCCTTGAGCAGAAAGCAGCTCAGGGACAGCGCCCATGCCCTGAGTTCAAGTCCTAGGACTGGCAAAAAATAAATAACTATTCAGTGTCCCACTTTTCTGCCATACGGCTGCATGTGTGCTAGCTCAGCAATTGTGTCAAAGGCTCACTCTTGTAGTCCTAGCTAATCAGGAGGCTGAGATCTGAGGATCAGGGTTCAAAGCCAGCCTAGGCAGGAAAGTCTGTGAGACTTATCTCCAATTAACCATCAAAAAGAAGTGGAACTGCAGCTCAACCAGTAGAATGCTAGCCTTGTGCAAAAAGGCTCACGGACAGCGTGCAGAGGCCCTGAGTTTAAGCTCCAGGACTGACCCCCCCCCTCAAAAAAAAAAAAAAAAAAAGCATAGATGGATGGATGGATGGATGGACTATCCTTGCTGAGGCAGGATCGATCTCCCTTTCTCTCCACAACATTTGAGATGCACTCTGGCTGTAAACCAAAAGAGATACCTGGTAGAATCATGGAGAGTCCACAGGCTACTCCAATGTATCAGAGCATCAGAGAAAATGACAGGCTCTCAAGCCATACTATGAATCTCCTCACTTTTGTTTGCTCATATGCTCAGTCTTAGGTCTAAGATAAATTTAAGTTCAAGTTCACACTCAGAAAACAATCATATAAGTAACACAGAAGTGATACCCAGCAACTCAGAAGGTGATGAGGGGTCCAGGCAGAACTGAAATGCTACCAACCACCTTCTCATACTGACAGTCGCTCTAGCCAGGAAAGCTGAATTAAGATCAGACTGACGAGTAATGACAAACACATTTTTTAAAGTAGGCCAGTAGGCCCCCGGAAATGCACATAGATAAGTGTTATTTCCAACTAAGTCATTACAGTAAACAGCTTTATCTTTGAGTCACTTTGAATCATGCACTTCCAATCATGCACCTCTGTTTTGTAAACAGAGGGAAAACAGTCACAAAAGAAAAAAAGTTTTATCTTGGCACGGGTGGCTCACACCTGTACTCCTGGCTACACAGGAGGCTGAGATCCGAGGATCACGGTTCAAAGCCAGCCCAGGTAAGAGAGTCTGTGAGACTCTTCTCGCCAATAAACTATTCAGAAAAGGTCAGAAGTGGGGCTGTGGCCCAAGTGGTAGACAACCTTGAGCAAAAGAAATTCTGGGACAGTGCCGAGGCCCCAGGTCCATAGTTTAAGCCCAAGGACTGGCAAAAAAAAAAAAAAAGGTTTACCAGAAGCTCATGGCTTACACTTGTAATCCTAGATACTCAGGAGACTGAAAACTGAGGATCAGGGTTCAAAAGCAGCCTGGGCAGGAAAAATCCATGAGACTCTTTCCAATTAACTAACCACCAAAAAGCCAGAAGTGAAGGTGTGGTTCAGTGATAAAAGAGTATTAGTCTTGAGCAGACAAAAAAGAAAAAAAAAAAAGCATAGGGACTAGGCCCAGGCACTGATTCAAGCCCCAGGACCAGCACCAAAAAAAAGTTTTTAGAAGAAGACAAAAGGAAAAACCCAGGTCACTGCGGAGTGCTGGAAGTGTGCATGTGTGGGCAGGGCAGGCTGGGCAGTGTGGTGTGTGGAGGGGCGCGCTGGGGGCCGTGTCTGTGTGCAGCGGGTGCTTGAGTACTTACTGTGCCCGGCTCTCTGTCTGCTCCCGAGGTTACCAAGAAACGCACAGACATGCCCGTTCAGACACAGAGGCAAGAACAGAAATAAAAAAAAGGGGGGAGTAATTAGAACACAGGCCCCAACAGTTTTAAAATGGCTTTTATTTATATAAGTCATTGCACATTCCTAATACAGTGATTTCCTGAAAATTACAGTATTTTGTAAACATAAGATTTACAGTTTAACCATACACAAAGCCTATTTTTTTATTTCTTGACAGAATAAATTACTTTTCTCCAAAAAAATTAGTCAAGTGCAATTTTGCCCAATATTTAATGCATACTAGAATTAAAGCCTATGAAACTAAGTAGTAACAGATGCAATTATCAAACCTTTCATTTGAACACATTCGCTTTCAAATTTTAACTTCTTATCTCGCCCCATTTCACAACATCACTTTCTTTGACATCACCCAATGAAGCGGTGAACAGTTTTCCGTAACACGGTGCGGGCCGTGGCATTTACAAGGCCGTTGCCAGGATGTCAAGGGTGCCTGCCATCTAAGGGCGGCGAGCCCCCGGCCCGCCGGGCTGCCAGCCCCGGGCGCAGCCGAGTCAGTGGGACGCTTGGCGGCCGCTCCTCATCTCACTGTCTGCTGTCTGTCTGGGTAGCGAGGCCCGCAAGCCTGCGGTACTGTCTGGGTATGAGGGCAAGGCCCTAATCTGGCTTGCCCGGCCTCTCACCTCTGTGGTGCTCTGCGTCGTGGTGCTTCTTGTCGTCTTTTATTGCCAAGTGAGACTGCCCGCTCAGGGCACTAGACAGCGCGAGAAGGCTGGCGCTGCCCCCCAGGGGCGGGATGCCAGCGGGCTGGAGTCCTGAAGGGTGGGGCGTGAGGGGCACCGGGGGCCCGTGGCCGTGGGACAGATGCTGAGCTTGCAGCTGCTGCTGCTGTTGGTGGTGGTGACATGGGAGGAGGGGGAGGGGAGGGGGAGGAGGGGGAGGGGGAGAGGGAGGGGGGGAAGGGGAGGGGAGGGGAGGAGGTGAGGAGGGACAAGGGGAGGAGGTGGTGGTGGCCAAGACAGCATCGGGGGAGAAAACACACAATGAGAGAGAAGGAAAGGAACAGGAGGTGGAACATGGGTAACAAGGGAGGAGAGAAAAGGGGAACATGAGGTTAGTTCCTCTGGTTCATCAAAAGCTCTCACCCACTCACGCTACTGACCCCCACCCCCACCCCAAAGCTCGTCTCTGATTTCCGCCCCCAGTACACAGCTTCTTATTACGCAAGTCTTGGGAAGTGCGTCAGACCTGCCGGACCTGCCGGTGAGATGCATCTCTCTGAAGTGTCTCCCAGGGATGAAATCCAGTAAAGCCATTAAACTGAAGACAGATTTTTTTAACTGTTCTGATTGGGAGGTGGGCTGGGGGCGGTGGTGCACATACCACCATTTGGTAACCACTCCTTGACTCCGTCTGATTACCAGGCGACTCTCTCTCTCCCCAACCTCCTAGCTTTACTGTATCACGGTAATAGGATGGAACCGGGTGGTACCCTGGGGATTCCGCCTATAATCCTAGCTATGTTGGAGACTGAGGTCTGAAGATCACGATTCAAAGCCAACCTGTGCAGGAAAGTCTGTAAGCCTCTCATCTCCAAGTAGCCACCAAAGCCAGAAGGAGAGCTTTGGCTGAGTGCTAAAGTACCAGTTTTGAGCCAAAAAGCTAAGGGGCAGCACCCCATCATTGAGTTCAAGCCATAAAACCAACACCAAAAAACAAAACACCCTAACAAGGAAAGTACTTTCCACTCGGTGTGTGAGAGGAAGTCCCGGCTCAAGTGTCCAGAGTGCAGCTCTGACACACTCGACGCACTGCTCACCCCAACAGCACCCTGTTCTCCTATGCTGTAGTTAAAAGCACGCTGGACAGAACCAGAGAGCGTCGTGGAAGTGCCCCTCACCACAGTACTAGATGCACTGCAGATCCAGAAACACAAAGCTCAGTCCTTAGGTTTCATGTGAGAAAATTTTTCAGCTGATCTGTTTACTTCCCTGGGATAATTATTCTTTTTTTTTTTTTTTAATTTATTACCTCCTTGTGTGGTCCTGAATATATTAAATCTTCACACAAGACCTTTAGTAATTTCCACTCAGACCAGTGTTTTTAATTGAATCCCAACCATGCTCAAAAAAACCTCAATAGTATGAAAAAAACACCATGCTGAAAATCAGAGCCAAAATGGGCACCGGTAGCCCACACCTATAATCCCAGCTACTCGGGAGGTTGAGATCTGAGGGTCACAGTTCAAAGCCAAAGTTCTTGACACTCATCCCCAATTAACCAGCAAAAACAAAAGTTAGAAGGGAGCTGGGGCTCAAGTGGTAGAGGGGTCCAGCCTTGAGCGAAAAAGCTCAGGAACAGCATCCAGGCCAGAGTTCAAACTCCAGAACAGTCATTAAAAAAAAAAAACAAAAAACAAAAAACAGAGCTCAGGGCTGGCGGCTCACAGCTGTCATCCTGGCTACTCGAGGGCTGATATCTGAGGACTGCAGCTCGAAGCAGCTCTCATCTCCTATTAACCATCAAAAAGCCAAAAGTGGAGCTGTGGGTGGGTCAAGTGGTAGAGCACTAGCCTTGAGCAAAACAAACAAACAAACAAAAACCTTAGGGACAGCACTCAGATCTTGGGTTCCAGCCCCAGGAAAGGCATGCATACATGTACATTCCTATACACATACACACAGAAATCAGAACCTGCTCTAATACTGCAGTAAAATTTCCACCATTCCTAGCACTGTTAAAAAATTGGGGAGATCACCGTCTTTTCCTTCCCGCGAGAACCCAGCTGTAATTAGAGCAGATAATGGGAAAGGAGGGATGGAAGGCCGGGGCAGAGGGTATTAACGGTATCCCCTGAATGTATTTATAAACCACTCACTCACCATCTGAGATCACACTAACGATTTCTTCACCTGTAAAAGCACCTTCCTGTCATCCCAAAGACACTAATTCTTGCTCTGTCACCTTTTAAGAGCTCGGCAATAGTGAGGCATAAAACCGAGGAAGCTGGCAGCAGCATCACGGTCCACTGGGCACGCTCGTTAGCATGTAATTAGGGACTAGACACCTGCCGTAAGACGCGCTCTTGGAGGAGGTGAGGAAAGGCCTGCCCAACCAGCCATTACCATCATCACTGGGGGAGCAGGCTACGTCCGGCCTCGGGAGGGAGCACTGAGGCATGCACAGCAAGGGCAGTGGTAATTAAGCTCGGCACTGATTAAAGGAAGACCAGAGAGGCCAAGCAGGGGGACTGCCGACAGTGAGTGCCACCCGTCCACCGCCCCCGCGCCTCCACTCCCCCAAATCCCCAGAATGGAGCCACAGAAGAGCTGCCAGAGGTGGGACTCGGGTGGGGGCAAACGTGTACTCCAGTGCTATCTGGACACACAGAGGAAGCAGAGATTTCCCCCAAAATAATTCCAGGTTACCTCTCCGCAAGACAAACTGGAAGAGGGGCTGTGTTTTATAACCACGGGGTTCCATCACAGCTGTGAAGTGTGTTAAAACCAATAATTAGGCTAATAACCACCAATGGGGACACTCAACAGCCTATCAGGGAACCCCCCTTCTGCGGGCTCTCCAGGCCCTCTGAAAAAGAGCTCACGGCCTCATGATTAGCAGTAACTGGGATTTGGGTGGGGATCTTGAAGGCTCCTCCTCCTCCTCCCTCCCCCTTTTCTTTTGCACAAATCTTGCCAGGCACCAGTGGCTCACATCTGTAATCCTAGCTACTCAGAAGGCTGAGATCTGAGGATCACAGTTCAAAGCCAGCCCGGGCAGAAAAGGCCATGAGACTCTTATCTCCAATGAACCAGCAAAAAGCTGAAATTGGAGCTGTGGCTCAGGTGCTGGCCTTGAGCAAAAGAGCTAGGCAAGAACTTGAGGCCTTGAGTTCAAGCCAGAATTGGCACAAAAAAGTAATGATTTATTTAGAATTTATTCTAGGACAAAGGGGACACTTGGAATCTACAGGCATCTGTTTTCCACAGACTAAAATCTCACAATGACTGCAAGGATGGGGGAAATTCAGCCTTTACATCATCAGTTCAAAACAAATGAGGAATCTTTAACAGTTCATACAGCATAAGCAAAGTTGTGCATAATCTACTGCAAGAGAAGTTTGTAGCAGATCACAGGGCACTAGGTCCAGAAATGCAAAAAAAAAAAAAAAAAAAAAAAGTGGCAAAGGAAAGCCTTTTTTGATGAGCAGTTATGTTTTTTAGCAATACTGCTGATTCCTCAGGCTACCAATCTAGACTAGTGGTTCTCAAATAGAGCCATGTGCCAGGACACTTGGCACTGTCTAGAGACATTTGTAGCTGTCACAAATGGGGGTGGAGGGACTCCGCCGGCATCTAGTGGGCTGGAGCCAAGGATGGTGCTAAACACCCTGCCATGTTCAGAAAGCTCTCCACTAGAGAACCAAACGGTCAGCAGTGCGAGGCTGCAAGCGTGGTCAGTCAGGGCTGGAACCCGGCCTCGCTGCATCAGAATGCACGGTCATCATGTTTGCCAAGAGCCTGGCCAAATCGCTATTTAAAAAATGAAAATACTTTTCAACATTCGAGCATTGACTGTCCCTTCATCGCCATCCAAATCCCTTGCCACAACTCAAAAAATGAACATCTGCTTTCTAAAGCTGATCCCAATCACAAGTGGAAAATTAAACAATCTAGAAAAGAGCTACACTGGGAACTTTCACATGGTGTTCTGATGCTAGGTTTGAGGATAGATAAATGCACTTGCTGTAAGGGAAACAATTTGAATCGGCCCAGAGACAAGAAAAGCAAACACCGAATCCTGAGTTAATGATACTGAAAACCCACAAGGAATGAAGTAACCTCATCCATGTCAAACAACAGCCACGCACTCAGAATTGTGCTTGGCAGGCCACTTGGCGCAGAGTGGGCCAATTATGCCCCACAGTGGAGCTGACTCTGGGTCGGCCCGAGGGGTGGGACGCGTGGCGAGTTCCACACGCTTGCCTCTGGAACACAGGTGCAGCGCGTGGCTCATCAGCACAGAGCAGGCTATATACAGGGGGGAGGCCTGGTCCAGACCCCAGGCCCGCCTTTCCCACACCAGACGCTAGGCTCTGAAATCAACGTTTTCCAAAACCTGAAGGTACTTTGTGACCCCCCCAGGAAAAATCTGGTTAACAAAATTGCAAATTGAACCCAACCAGACCTAAACCGATACCACCGAGGGGCCTCTATCTCCAAAGCCAAGCGACAGTAAGTGCCATTTATAGCACTCAGTATGTAAACACTTTCAAGGGGGACAAAAATGTGAAAAGCAGCCTTGTTGACAGTTCTCTCCAAACCTCCTTGGCTGGTGCTACTCGCCTGGTCTGTAAAGCACTCAGTTCTTATCTTGGGAGCCTGCGGCATAAACAAGTGGGAAGGGCCTCCGGCAGCAGCCACACAAGGACTCCACTCCAGGAGTTATCTGGAAACCTCCCATTATGTGAATGGCCTCTCTCCAGAAGAGGGCCACGGGTGATCAACAGGGAGACTCTGCCGGCGGGGCCAAGAATTCTCCAGCCACTTGAAAACAATCATAAAAAATAAAGTAACAATGTGCTGAAAGACCTCCGCTAAATACATGAGTGCCCAGGCCGCCCATAGAGGGGAGAAAACACTTGCAAACCATCTATCTGAACACAACAGCGAGAGGAAAAAGAAATCAGTATTTGTTAAAAGCTACAATAACTCCACTAAATAAATGGATGAAAGGCCTAAACAGACACTTCTCAAAAGACATATAAATGACCAGCTAGTCTATGGAGAACGCGCAACATCACAGTCATCAAGGAAATACAAATCAACACCACCTCTTATGGCGGCTAGTATCAGAAGGCCAGCACGTACAAACCCTGTGCCGTGGCC